CTTAAATATAGTAAATACACTAACGAAGTGTTAGTATTAGTTTTAAAAAAAATCACACGAAAAAACCTATTGAGATACAATATTAGAATTTATTTTTTTCTCAGTATGATCAAAGGTTGTTTGGTAAATTAATTTGTCTCCCATTTTCTAATGCTTACAGTAATGCTTACTTGAAGTATCAATTTTTGATTAGTTTTATGAATTTGAGTTTTTTGTTTCACTAATAAGTCTACTTACAAATTTTAGATCCACATGTAGCTTGGTATTGTTAATACTTTTATTGTTGTACATAACTGTTTATATGTGTTAAGTCGTTTTACTTCTGTTAGTAGATTACTAAACAACATTCAAATTTAACAACTTATTTTAGATCCACATGTTGCTAGGTATTGTTAATACTTTTATTGTTGTACATAACTGTTTATATGTATTAAGTCGTTTTACTTCTGTTAGTAGATTACTAAACAACATTCAAATTTAACAACTTATTTTAGATCCACATGTAGCTTGGTATTGTTAATACTTTTATTGTTGTACGTGACTGTTTATATGTGTTAAGTTGTTTTACTTCTGTTAGTAGATTACTAAACAATTACCATTAAAATTTAACAACTTATTTCTAAGCATTCTTGTTATCTTTCCCATGTGATAGAAATATGTGGATAATGGCTACTCAATTTCTACAATTCACAATATTGGGAGGTCAAAGAATGAAATTCAAATTCTATTAAACCGATTTAAGGATTAAGAAACACTTAGCAATATATCTTTTTAAAATGGGATAGATTTATGTATCTACAAGGCTCTATGCCAGGGTACTTCAAGTGATTAGTTCACCTACAAATCAAATGATGTTTTTCAATTCATCCAATCTATATGGATGGAATGTTTATAGCTCAAAGGTTTAAAAAGAAATGGTATATTGGTTTCAATGATTATTGCCGAATTTTATTCTCTTTTATAAATTTTTTCAATGAACAGCAATGAACATTAGACCAAACTGATAACACATTAGTTGACAATTAGGACACTATAACTGTAACAGAAAGGCAAAGAGAAATGTATTATTTGATCCTGAGACCACTTACAGCAGTATTCCAGTATCCTCATCTTTAAACTGGGCTCCATCGCGTCCCATGATGACATATTCTTGCTGTACATCTAAGTCAGCTACTGAACACGAGTCTCGTACCATCAGATCTTTAGATTCTTGCAAAATATTTTCTTTTCGCTCAATACCTTAAGAATAGGAAATGCATATAAATACTATGAAACCCATTTCTATCAAAGTACCATGATCTTTTTATAATAGATAACTTTTACAATTTTCCTTGTATATATTTATTACCAATTAAATTTTAATGTCTTTAAGGTTAGTTGTCAGTTTTATTTATATGTTTTTAAATACAGAATATTAACTTTTTCTCAGCATTATCAGTGTCAACTACACAGTTACAAATAATTTACTAATACTCGCATCACCCACACAAATTCCAAAGACTTCATTAATATAATGTCAGCCCTGAAAACTATGAACATTCTATTAATATAATATCTGTATCAACCATTAAAATTTCAAACACTCCATTCATTCATTTCAATGACATTATTTTATTAATTCTTCTTTCTAAGGATGTAAATATATATAATTACACTGTAAATTACAAATAGTAACTCTAAGCAGGCTATGTTTTTTTAATTATAAGAAAATATAACAACATATTTGCCATATATTTCACTCAAGTTGTGAAAACGTATTTTGAAATTAATTCCCTAGTTTGTGTTAATTCTGTTTTAAAGGTTGGTTTAAACAATATGTATTTTTATTTGTAAAAAAAAAAGTATCTAAACATTTTTTTTCACTGTGTCAAGAAAACATTATAAAGCTGTCTTATCTAACAAATTCAATGAGCTACTGTGAACATTGCATTACACAAGTTAAAACTAGCATTACCTTCCTTAAAAACTGAAGTCACTCTGAACGAAATATAACGAAATCCATTTTCTTTCTTTTGCTTTCAACAATTCCTTTCCACACTAAAAAAATATTAATAACCACATATTAACTCACCATACATGTCAAAATGAGCATGACAGTGTTTTTAAGTCAATGAAGTATGAAAACTCAGAGAATAACAACAATACAAATAATCATTCATATAGACTGTAACATTAATGTTCCAATGATTCAATGCTTCTCAACACAGAGGAAAACTGAATAACTGAAATGCTTCTATTTCTTTAAACCTAATCCACAATTTACATTCAAAACATTATGAAACTAATAATATATGAACCCAACTCCTTCTGGAACAAACATAAGAGGGAATCCTCAATAGCTGTGGCACTTGAAATTATTTTAGGCAGGATTAGAGTAAATTAACCTACTTGACCTTTTCCCCCCTTTTATTAGTTATATTTTTGTGCACCAGTAATACCAAGCGTGGGGCAAGCATATACCCCATTCAGTTTTGTTACTCATCAGGATCTCTACTAACCTACCCTCAAATTGAAATTCTTTTAAACAGGAGTAAATTAATCTATGAGACCTTGGACATAGCCATATACATCAGTCAAAAGAGTTTGACCACCTGAGTCCAAAACTATAATTAGAGCTCAAATCGGTCAAGAGATGACAGAAGTACGAGCTAAAAGTTTGTACTTGAAAAAAAGGTCAGAGCCATTCTATGACCCGCTATGCTGAAGCTAACAACATTTTAGATGTATCAATTTTTAAAAATTACTAAAGCAGAAAAAAGTTTTTTTTGCTCATGGTTCTTTTAAAAAAGAAATTTCGTATAATAAAACAGCTCATCAAATTTAAGGATTTTTTTTATAATTAATTTTCAAAACTAACATTTTGTGTGTGTAAAAGAAAAATTTTGGAAAAGTGTTTACAGATAACAAAAGTAAAAAAAGGGTAGTTCGTTAAAAAATATCTACATATGTATAAATACATAACAGATTTTAATTAAAAGTGAATACAGAATTAATAAAATTAGCTATAAGTATACATTACTTATTCACAAATCAAAAATAAGAAAATTTACTTTAGTTCAACAGTGTTAAACCCTTATACAATAAAAGAATTTTCCTTACATACCATAATCATGATCCACACAAGCTCTGTCTAAAAGTAACTTTCTCGATTCACTAATATCATGTACACTTGTTACACCTTGAAAGGGATGTCTAGGAGGACAGCCACCTGTGATATGACACCAAAAACTTAATTAGCTTAGATAGATCTTAAAATCTAAATACAGATTACTTCTTCCTAGAGTCAGAGGGTTGAGTATGTTACATTAATATGATTTTGAATATGCAAATCAACAAATCACATGACAAATACAGCCAATATAGAGTTGCTGAAGAAAAACATATTTTAAAACTACATTTTGACATCACTTGGCATGTCATAGGTAGTGAATTGCCACCAACAAATTTATCACTTTTGGAATGGTATTTAACATCACTTTCCAATACAAACTATTCATACATTCAAACCACAAAGACTTGTTCATATCATAGATTTATAATTTCCAATATGGGGGATATCCCTTGTACTTAATGGCCTTGGAAAATAAAGGAATAATATCAAATTGGGGCTCCAGTACCATCCAGACAGAGACAGGGAAACGAGTCATATCCCAGCTATCTATGGTAAGCCAAGTATGGCATCTTGTAACAGATGAGAACCTGTGTGCCCCATGCAACAGTATATACAACATAATCAAGAAGGTTCTCCACCTATAAAAATAAGTTACATGTACATGATATATCCAGGAAAGGAAGGTCAACTGTGGAAAACTTGTAGGAAATGTATCTAGCCAGGGAAAATAGCAATATATGGTGACAAGTTCTATGTACACCTCGTTAACTGTAACAAGTCTTGTGCAATTTCTACTGGTCAATGGATTAAAAAAAGGAAAAAAAAACGTTCAGAAATGTTACATGGTGTGTCACAAAACGTTTTCCAAAGAAATTCATGATGATTTTGAGATACTGTACCAAGGGCATGACAAGACGCAGGAGAGCATATACAAAGGTCGATGGAAATTAAATTGTGAGGCCTTGTGAAAATGCACGATTGTCAGATGGAGTGTGACCATATATAGCAATGGGGATTGTACAATGTGGTGAGGCTCCAAAATTATTTTAATACAACATACTCGACCTTCTAATGTAATGATGTACACAGTCCTAAGTTTTGGTAGAAATAATCATTAATGACCTTAAAATTTCCATTTCCAAAATCTGAAATTTGACCTTGCACAAATAATCTTTAATAGTGAAACTTAATTATAACCTTTCTTGTTTTTTTTTCCACTTTCAGAAAATGTCTCAAATTTACTTTAACATTCATAAATCTGTTCTACCAGCTCTAAGAAGAGGAAGATGGTTCAAATGCATATAAAGATTTAGTAAAAAAGTTTCAATTTGCATGTAGCTCAGTGTTTTCCCAAACTTTGAGGGATAATGAAACAAGTATAGGATCAAACACTTTATCTCAATGCTAAGTAGTAATTTATGATCATATTTTATTTTGATTTCCATGAATGAAAAGAAAATTGCTCTTCTTACCCACCTTCAGCACACTGACATACACTTCCTTCACAGATGGTTCGAATTAAAGGACTCTGGTTGTCTGGACTATAAAACTGGGAACATGATTCCTCTATAATTTAAATAAAAACAGTATAAAGAAACCATAAAGCCTCATTTTTTCAACATACAGTAACACAAAGAACAATGGTAATAAGCACCTTTCTTCTTTATTTATTATATACAATAAAATCAGCAATGCAAACAACAGTATGACCTGACTTATCTTCGACATATACCATAACATTTAGGACAATACTATCCTGCAGTTCATATACAAGAGTTAGACAAAACAATAGAAATATTTCACCTTTTCTAACTCCAAGTTCTGGCGTCTTTAATTGTGCATTAAAATATTCTATATCATAGAATTTTTCTGTGTACAAGTTTTATAAAATACAAGTTTAAAAACTCTTCAGATATCCAAAGAGGCATGATTGTAGATGAATATCTAACTAGATCCTTAGTGAAATATGCACCTAAAATAATTAATGCATGCCAGGAAAAATTTTAGAACTGATGTCAGCATAGGTAAAAAAAAACTTAAACCACATCAGACAAAAATAACAGTGATGAAAAAGATAAGTTGACAGATCATGACAAGGAGCATTAACATGAGTAATAAGACAGAAACAAAAGATATAAGCCAAACATTAACTAATCTCTGCCAAAAACAACTTGAAGGCAACTGCACAAGATGAGTTATCATGGTTGGTTGAATATTCAGTAACCTCTAATAACACTAGAAAATGCACAAGCCCAACTAAAATGGTGTCAAGAACATATAATTTGGGCCAAAGATCAATGGAAGAAAACGTTTTGGTCACATGAACCATCTTTTAAATTTTTTTTCATTAAATGAATATGTTTATATGAGATGAAAACCAAAAGAAGCTTACAACACTTAATTTCTTATGCCATCAGTTAAACATGGTGAAGGATCTGTCATGGAATGGGCAGTTTTTTGTTGGAATAGTGCAGGGCTAAAGATATTGCTGAAAGGTAAAGTGACAGTAAATGATTATTAAAAGTTATTGCATAACAGGCCCATCTTTTGATAAACATTATTCACAAACAGATAACCAGTTTCAGCAAGGCAATGCATCAACTTATACTACTGAAATTGTTCAATATTGGTTCAAAAACCACAAGAAAGAGTATGGGCACCTAACTTGACATCCAGTTATCAGATTTAAATGTTATCGAGCCTCTACGATCAATTCTTGAAACCAACCTTAGAAACATATTTCCACCATCAACAATTAGCTCTGATTAACAAATGGTAAAAAAATTATTTAATTTCTGTATTGCATACTGGTGTCTAAAATACAGAAATAAACACTCTTATAACACCAAATTTGTTATTTTTCTTTAATTGGACACTCAACGTTTTGCTTTACAGCTTCTTCAGGAGTTTTCCACTAAAACAAAACAATAATTAATAATATAAATCTTCATAAAACTTTGGAGCTGTCAGTTACTGTTACTACATAATCTGGTGGCATGGGGGGTCATGTTGAAAAAAAATCATTCACCCACTGCAGCTTGTATTTTGGTGTCTTGATGTACCTATTTGTCTTGATGTACAAACCTCCCAAAATGATCTCAGTACATCCATGATCAGTATCCTTCTTATGGCAACATTCCACTGTCATCTTGAACTTGTATGATATACACAAGAACAACTGACACTTCTCTGACTCAAAAAACTCAAATCATGGTTTGGTTGTCTTGGCAGATGACCAGGCCCATAGATCAGTATGGTGGTCTTTTTTTGCCATAGAGTTACCATTTGACAAATATATATATATATATCTCAGATAGTATCTCACAAAAAAGTATGAGAGAAGAAATGATTGAAAGGAGATAAACCAATTACCATTTCAGTCATAACTACAAATCCTGGTCATTGGCACTAAAATATGTGTACTTAGAAGATCTGTTGTGTTTCCAGCCTTAGAGTAAAAAAGCATATGATTATCTGATTACTGCAATAATACTGGTTCAATGCTCTAATATGGTGAAGGAGAAAAATAATGATTTGTCCATAGTTGAAAAAAATGACAAAATTTGATTGGAAAACAAGCACTGAAAACAAAGGCTGGCTGTAATATGTGACAGGATTTGCAAAGACAGAAATGAAATAAATTAAACTAATATCAACAACGAAGATGAAGTGGAAATAAAATTATAGTTCAAAACAAACCAATGCTGCCTGAATTACTTTTAAATAATTGAAACACAACAGTAAGAGACTGAGTCATATAGCCACTAGTAACACACTGATAAACATAATGGATAGAAGGGTGGAATAAGGACAAGACTGACAGTACATAGTGACTCTTCCAAAGTAGAAAATTATCTTTATAAAGTGTCAAAACTACTTTTAAAATTTGCAGTCTCTTTTTCTCTCTATGCCTGACCAGTTACATGAGAAAATTCTGAGAAATAGATGCTAGTTCCTACTCCATGTGACTGACAGAAAATAGCTTCACAAACAAGGTGGGAAGTTTATTACATTACAACTACTTAATGAGATAGTATCTATCTTCCTTGATTGAGAAATGTTATAGAAAGTAACACCTAGGGTTGCTTTCACACATATCACATTTGTCTTATTAGTTGCTGAAATGGTACTCTAAGTAACATTTAAAAATTTTGTTTCTGTATTAATATATATATATATATATATTATAGCATACTTTTCGAGATGTATAGCCAGTGTACATTTCATTATGAATTTCAATCATTTTTATAATTAATTATTATTAGAAGTATTTGTATGTCTAATTGGCTGTAGATTATGATGCAAAAATGCCTTAGAATTACAAAGAAACAAATAAATAAATTTAGGTAGTAAAATAAATAGTAATGAAAACACTTGAAACATGATGGAAAAAGAATTATATAAAACATGAAATGAATGATAACATACTGGAAAACAACATATATACTTAAGAATATAATTATAGTTATTTGAGGACAGCAAAAACTTCATGGCAAAAGATATATAATACATACTTGGTTTGTAGTAATCGTAAACTTTGACAACACTTGATTGTATATTACCCACAATGAACTGTCGTACAATTCGGACCTTAAAGCAGTAAGGTTTATCATGGGGAGCCTGAAAGTAAAATACTGGAGTAAAACATACACAACCATTTTAACAGAAAACATTACTCCAACAAATGTACATTTAAGTCCTGCAAGTAACATGTTTCAAGACATGCACTCCAGTTAAATAAATTAGTATAATAATAATATGTATGAAAACTTCCAAAAATGCTGTTTGAAAAATTCTAAAGCTGAAACACGTTTATAGTTTCAAGTACTCTTTTTTTTTTAACCGTTCAATTAAAATTTTGTTTCCACTGTGAATAACCTTGTTCAGTATTAAAATACCATCCTAGTGAGGAGCTTATGATAAGACTTAACATGTACAGAACTACATTTAGTATACAGTTTAAAATATAAATGACACATGGAATATAAAGTGAAATGTAAACAATATTGTGAAATCTGAAGAATAACTTAACATGTTCACAATATTATGAAATCAGAAAGTACTTTGACACATAATTAATGTTATGACACATGGTGAGCAAACTTACAGAAAGGAAAACAAATTCTAAGCAATATAATGGCAGGAACTTAAAGGATATTCAGTAGGTACCAGAGATCATAAACAAGATAGAAAATACAGTTAAAGACATATCTTATGTACTAGATAGTACAAAAAATTTCTTACGTTATCCATGTAAAATACAACACTTTTGTCAGATGCTTCAAATCTTGCAATCTTGGAATTTTTCTGTTTAACCAGCTATGGAAAAAAAAAGAAAAAAATTACTGAAAGCTGATTGTAATTAGTTCATAACTTGTACTATTGATGATCCATATATAATTACATTTCCAAGTTTTACATGGGTAAGTTTATATAGAGACTGATGCATAATCTTAGGTTGATTCATTTGTCAATTCTTATTTAACTAACATCTTAAATGCTAGTTTATCACAGGAAATGCAGAAACTTGTCTAAATGTTGTTACAAGCATACTATTATACATTAGAGATGTTTGCTTAGTTCTTCTTGAATTTTAAGCTTGGTATATGAGCTATAATTTAACAAATTAAAGTAAAAATTATAATACTGCCACGATTTCTTTTTTTTTTACTTACACAATTACATCATCTTAACTTGTATATTTTCAAAAATATGATATATTTTTAAGTTAAATTTCTAATTATAAAGTTCCTAGGGTAATTGAAAGGTTTGGATTTGAAGTCATGATCCACAGATTGCGAGTTGAGCACCCTAACCATCAGGCCATTAACTGAAAGAGCAGTATTAACTATTTTTGTACCTTTATGCACATTGTGTCAATAAATATTAAAATTTTACAGTATAACTCAAACACAATAAATATATAAGTACACAACACATAGTTTAAGAATCACAGAAGATTATATCTTTAAGGCAAGCTTTATAAGGTTAAAAACCTGTTTAAATCAAACAGCTTCAGTGTAATAACACATATAACATGAAAATATAAAACTACGGAACCTACCTCTTTTAATTCATCTATTAG